AGATTCTGTATAAAATTATTCTATTTCCTGAATTTAACTGTAATGTGTTAGTTGCACTAGAGTAAAAACACTGCTTTGCACAGTGGCAGTATCGTAGTTGCACTAGAGTATTTATAGAGTCCAGCATATACCTAGTAGAGTGCTTCTGAGAATTAGTTATAATTTTGACCACATCTCAAAAGATGGTATTATGAAGCCTTCCATCCACAAATAAGGCCACTGTTGGGATTCACACATGAGGACAACACCATCTCCTCATCATACCATAATAAATATTTACAAGGAAAAGAAAGATTAGAAAGTGTGCATACTTCTATAAAATCACAGCTGAAAATGAGAAGAGCTGGGGTCAGCTTTTCTCTACAGGCTGCTATCAAATGTCTTCTAAGTTTGTTAAGAGCAGCTATAGCACTGGTCTTCCTGCTTAATCCTCCCAGGAATTGTATTTGTAAAAGGACCTGATTACTTTGCTATCTATGGCTAGAAGCAGAACTGATAAAAAACACAAATATGTATAACCTTGGAAATTCCAACTTTTTTAAGGAAAAAAAGAGGTCGTTCTGAATCAGAACAGAATCTTGAAAATTAGAAGTCATCACAAAGAAACATTTTGAAATTGTTATATTCAGAAATCTTGAGCTATTTTAATTCAGTAATGATGAAATACTCTGTATAAATAATATTAGTGTATAAAATATGACATTTATATGCACACACAAAGAGTCTCTATATGCAAAGAGACTCTTTGTGTAAACACACATACCCAGACTATACATATATGTATACACACATGCGTATAGTAACATTACATTTTTACTTTAATTGATAGCCAGTATTTTGGGAATCTGATTTTTCCCCACTTGGTGCCATTTATTTTGTTTTCAAGAAGTGTACATACATTGAACTTTTTTTTTCTCAACACAGTACTTTAAACAACAGCAGACAGTTTGCTCATGACTCCAAATGTACCTTTCTTGCCAGTCCTCTACCACAGGGAGCTTTGCTAGTGATAACTTTCCAGGCCAGTTTCACATCTGATTCTCTTACTGTCTGCTGTTTATTTTGCTTCCTCTAGTTTTTTTTTTTCTTTTCTCATTCTAACACATATAGCCTACCCTCACCCCACATGCTTCCATGCCCACTTCACTAGTGCACATAGCCAGTCCCCCCCATCCCACCCCCTGGATCCATCCCATTCCCCACCTGAGCCCTGTGGCCACCCATTCTGGCCTTGGGCCCCAAGTCCCATGCGCTGTCTGAGCTGGGCAGCAGTCCCAGCCCGAACTCCAGCCCAACTCCCTCGCTCCCCCTCTGTGGAGGTCTCAATCCCCCTCCCCACCCACCCCGGCTTACCTGTGGGAACTGCTCTCCAGGCTGCTGGTGTATGTTTGCATGTGTACACATGCACATGGTGCTCCCTGATGATCACCCTCTTCCTGCTCCATGGGTGACTGGTACCCCCTTAGTCAGTGGGGGGCATGTGCCGGAGGGGGGTGTCCCCATGGCCAATTTCACTATGCCCAATCACTGCAACCGCTTCCAGGAGTGGC